AAAATAAATAATAATAATAATTACAGCTGAAAACTTTTTTTTATTGTAAACATACACAGTCGGGCAAACCAGGTAAGACGCCCCTTTAAGAACAATTTCTTTGAAAAAATATAGATATTTGTCAATACAATATTCACACAAGAAATCTGTAGAAATGAACACATTTAGGCTGCAATTAAATCATAATGGACTAAAACTTTGTTACAAAACTGAATCTAAAATCCTGAAAAGGATTTGAAAGAGAGGTCAGACGATTGAATGGAGTACGGCTCACCCACCTGGTCCACATTGAACTGTTATTGACAGACTGTTTGTGGTTTTTATCCAGTCTGATCATTAATGAGTTAAGTTTCCGAGTCATTTAGATGTATGTTAACATTTCTTCCTTTTTTTCCCTTTTCTAAACAGATTCTTGATATTTGATACTTCCTGGTATTTTCTGACTGACTTTTGAGACACCAGCAGCACCTGTAGTTACATCTCTGACCACTACACCTGCAGAGCAGAGTGCACACTTTGACTGGCTGACTGGTTTCCTGACTGACATGACAGAGGAGGATGATAATCAACACTGAGTTCATCATAAAAACGTCACCAGTGGAGCTCTTCTCCTTTTTTTTTCTCACATTTTTTCTGTGTATTGCAATTTCGATCTTAATTATTAAATCTTCCTGTTTCTTGTGATTCAATAATTTTTTCAGTGTTTAAAAAGCAAATTTATCATCTGTGTTTATTTTATTTTAATATTTAGCAAACTTCCATTATTGTGTAATATTAGAAAAAAACTAGGAGAAGCAAAAAAGAAAAAAAACAATGTAAGAGATTCCTTTAATGAACAAATGATCAACAACATAAGCACCCCAGCTGTTTAATATACAGAGAATAACTGAAACCTTTACATAATCCTGCAGTAAGCAGCCGTAGCTGATGAATGGACTGTATGGACCTTCTTAAGAATTCTTTACAAAGTTATAAAATGGATAAAGTGCAAAATACAGGGATACAAAATTGTGTTCTGTAATCATCTTAACATCACCCTGGACGTGGTGATTAAAGCAATAAATAAAATAAATAAATGATCCTCCTCAGATCT